GCCCCTTCCAGTTTGCATATCGGTCCAACCGCTCGACCGATGACGCCATCGCCACTACCCTCCACTCAGAACTCACATATCTGGACAAAAAAGACTGAAACTGGTTGCAGTTGACTGCAACAACTGCAACCAAGAGTTTGCGATAACTGGCAATGAGTCTCTCACATCGCTGTGGAGGAATTTTGGCCCACTTGTTTTAATTCAGCCACATTGGAGGGTTTTCGAGCATGTATGGACTGTTTAAGGTCATGCCACAGCATCTCAATCGGATTTAAGTCTGGACTTTGACTGGGCCACTCCAAAACCTTAATTTTGTTTTTCTTGAGCCATTCAAAGGTGGACTTGCTGGTGTGTTTTGGATCATTGTCCTGCTGCATAAACCAAGTGCGCTTGAGCTTGAGGTCACAAACTGACGGCCGGACATTCTCCTTCAGGATTTTCTGATAGAGAGCAGAATTCATGGTTCCATCAATTATGGAAAGTCATCCAGGTCCTGAAGCTCAGACCATCACACTACCACCACCATGTTTGACTGTTGGTATGATGTTCTTTTTATGAAATGCTGTGTTGGTTTACGCCAGATGTAACGGGACACACACCTTCCAAATGAGCCATTCAGAGGTGGACTTTCTGGTGTGTTTGGGATCATTGTCCTGCTGCATAACCCAAGTGCGCTTGAGCTTCAAGTCACAAGCTGACGGCCGGACATTCTCCTTTAGGATTTTCTGATAGAGAGCAGAATTCATGGTTCCATCAATTATGGAAAGTCATCCAGGTCCTGAAGCTCAGACCATCACACTACCACCACCATGTTTGACTGTTGGTATGATGTTCTTTTTATGAAATGCTGTGTTGGTTTTACGCCAGATGTAACGGGACACACACCTTCCAAAAAGTTCAACTTTTGTTGCATCAGTCCACAGAATATTTGCCCAAAATTCTTGGGGATAATCAAGATATTTTTTGGCAAATGTGAGACGAGCCTTTGTGTTCTTTTTGGTCAGCAATGGCTTTTGCCTTGTAACTCTCCCATGGATGCCGTTTTTGCCCAGTCTCTTTCTTGTTGTTGAATCATGAACACTGACCTTAATTGAGGCGAGTGAGGCCTGCAGTTCTTTAGATGTTGTTCTGGGTTCTTATTATGACCTCCTGGATGAGTCATCGTTGCGCTCTTGGAGTAATCTTGGTAGGCCGGCCACTCCTGGGAAGGTTCACCACTGTTCCAAGTTTTCTCCATTTGTCGATGATGGCTCTGACCGTGGTTCGCTGGAGTCCCAAAGTCTTAGGAGTCCCAAAGGCTTTATAACCCTTTCCAGACTGATACATGTCAACTACTTTGTTTGTCATCTGTTCTTGAATTTCTTTAGATCGCGGCATGATGTGTTGCTCTTTAAACATGCTTCACTTTGTCAGACAGGTTCTATTTAAGTGATTTCTTGATTCAACAGGTCTGGCAGTAATCAGGCCTGGGTGTGGCTAGTGAAATTTAACTCCGCTTTCTAAAATGATGTGGTTCATCACAGTTCTTTCATGATTTAACAGGAGGGGGCAATTATTTTTTCACATAGGGCAAGGTAGGTTTGGACAGCCTTTTCCCCTTAATAAATGAAATCATCATTTAAAAACTGCATTTTGTATTTAATTGGATTATCTTTGTGTAATATTAAAATTAGTTTGATGATCGGAATATTTTAAGTGTGACAAGTATGCAAAAAATAAAAAAAAAACAGAAAGGGGGCAAAAACCTTTTCACAGCACTGTATTTCTGAGGGAGGGGCTTCATATAAATAGGAAGTCATCGGAGCGTTCAAAGGAGAAAGGACAGAGCGTGAAAAATTAAATTGTGAAAAATAATGCGTTTTTAAAAAAAAAAACGAAGCATTAACACATTTTAGACTGCACCCCATAAACACAATTAAGCCTAGAAAATAAAACAGTCAACCACCCCTTTAAATGAATGAATGAATGAATGAAAAAGAGCTATAGAAGCTTATTTCTGCCACGGAATAAAAAAAAATATAAAAAAGGTAATTGCAACTTTTTATCTCACAATTCATGCTTTTTTTCTTGCAACTGGACGTTTACATCTCACAATAACTTGCAATTGCAAGATATCAAGTCACAATTCTGAAAAAAAGTCTGAATTACAAGATATAAACGCATCATTCTTAGAAAAAAACTCTGAATTGCAAGATATAAACACAAATATGATAAAGTCTGAACTGTGAGATAACATTAAAATTCTGAGACAAATGTCAGATTTGTGAGATATAAACTCGCAATTCTGAGACAAAAGTCTCATTTGTGAGATATAAACTTAATTTGGCGGAAAAAAGTTTGAATTATGAGATATAAAATCGCAAATTGTGAGACAAATGTCAGATTTGTGAGATATACACTCGAAATTGTGAGAAAGTTAAAATGAATTAACTTTTTTAATATTTTTATTCTGTGACGGAAAGAAGCTTCCACAACAAACTTCACATTTCTATTTTAAAAATGTTGTTGTAGAAACTAAGGGTCAATTCATAATTATTTTCTGATTTAGCTGAAGTTGTATGCATATAAATACTGATAATAAATATTACTTTATCTTATTCATGATTTTTCTTAATCCATTAGCGCTTTATTCATCATTGCTTTTTATTTGCCCAGACTGGTCGCAGCTTGTCAGTGCGCAACACGGTGAGAAGGCAGACCCAGAACAGCCAGTGGGAGTCTCAGATGAACTGGAATGCACAGTCTCAGTCCAATGGAATGAGACGCGGTGGCAGCGACCCAGCCTTGAATAAGGCAGGTGGCACAATTACCCAGCAGTCCAAGACGAGGTCTTCTACTGTGCGATATAACCGAGCAACTGGACAATCCATGAGACTCCAGGAGAATAACCTGCCTGCCAGCACCAGCCAATCACAGATCGCAAGCATCAAACCTTCCCTCAGCCAATCACAGACAATTACGAAAGTCACCACTACCAAGAACAAATCAGAAGCGCTGCGGTGAGTGTGCTGCATCTTGGCTGCATCTTAATGTAGTTTACATATGTTATGTGCTAATAGTAGTATGTAAAAGCGCATTATCTGTTATGCTTCACAGAAACATTGTTTTTTGTTCTAAACATTCATTTTACAGATACCTTGCATCTTCTATATGCTAGTGTGCTTTTAAAAAATTGACTTTTAGCAAATACACATTTAAATTTTACAGTCTTTTGTACTTCTATGTTTTTGTCATACAGTAGTTTGTCAAAGCTATATTTGTGTGTCTGTTACTTGTTTCATAAACATTGTTCAGTGCGAGTGGTGCCGAGGGATCTATTCCTAACATCACTCTGCAGGAGGCAGTGGAGTATCTGTCACACTCAGACATCAGCCATCAGCTGTGTGGAGCTTCATTCATACAGCACCAGACCTTCACTGAAGACAGAGCCAAGCAAGAGGTCAGCAAACTAAAGATTTCAGTCAGAGTTAAACCTGCCTTCTGCTGCATCATTGCATGTTGGGTGATTCTAGAAAGAGCCATATCATAAAAACCATCAATTATTTTGAAATTTGATTAAGCTCTCAAATCTATCTATCTATCTATCTATCTATCTATCTATCTATCTATCTATCTATCTATCTATCTATCTATCTAT